ATGAACAACGAAAAAAATTGAAAAATTGTGTATTTCTAAGACGAGGGTTGAAGTTCGTGAAAGGGGTTGATAAGGGATACTCATGGGTTTATTAGATTGTCAAATTTGTCTCCTGTTCAGTGAGTGCCAAGGATAAGAAGACGAGAGTTCGGAGAGAGACTTGTTCAATTATAGAAGGTGACGAGGACCACTCATAGATTTATTACAGTGTCGAACTTTAATAAAATTGATAAGGAATGTTTTAAAGAGGTGGAAGGAATCAGACGGTTGTATCGACAGTGAACTGAACAAATATAAAGACCGGGTTATTCAGTCTCTTAGATGAAATGAGTTGCCGTCAATCATAACTAGAAACAACTCGTCATTAAAAAGAGCCATGATCAAGGATTCGTATGCCTCTGACACGACTGGGTGATCGCCATTACAATAAATAGGGAGAGTAAGTGGAATTTATATCTTGTAGCTATACTATAAACAGTTGTACGTCCTACTTTTCGGCTTAGATTTGGTTAAACGGAGTAGCTAATGTCCCAAATGATCCCAAAGATCTTAATCTAGATTCTAGAACAACTAAATCGAACCATTCGTCAATAGCTGATTGAAGCATACCAATATTCAGGTAAAAATGTCGTACACTATAGATCTAAATGATTGAGACCACGGAACTATCCAAGACAACAAGATTACACAAACCACGACTAAATAATCTCACTAACAACCTAACAATCATTCAAACAATCTAATCTACAGAGCTTTCGGAACTAGGGACGTTTGGCACAACATTCATCATAAATATTATATGTCAATAATACATGAAATGGATTTTAGATTCGACTTTTCTGCTCCAGATAGGGCTAATGAAGACGGGCAACACCGTGCAGTGTAAAATGAGAGAAATTTTGCCAGGAAGTGGAATTAGACTTCGCTGTTTTGACTTATTGGGTAAGTGTCTTTAACGTGCTAAGCCTGTATTTCAACCAGTATTTATCTTAACAATCTTCAACACATTATACCATAAAGAGGCTAGCAGTATACATTAAGCATTTGTCAGAACAAGGGCGACAACTCTTTACACTTTTAAAAGAAAGAAAATTGAGAAGAGGATAATACTTACCGGTGAGGGGAGGGGATTATAGAAGTCCGGGTGAATGTAAGGCGAAGCTGCGTTCAACATAGTTGGTAAACACTCAAGTTTAATTAAACACAGAAAACACTGGATAATCCTCGAGATTAGTCACTTCGTAGTCGTAGGGTCAGGGGTTATCTCCAGCTGTCAAACAGACCTAATGTTCTAGTCTAATATTTGAAGGGTATAATCCACAAAAATACTGTCAGACTTGATATTCAAGTCGTCCAATATTTGGGGTATAATTCACCCTAAACTATCAGACTTGATGTTCGAGTATAAGTTTTGAGAGGATATAATCCAGCATCAACTGTCATAAAGGCTTGATGTTCTAGTCTAATATTTAAGGGAACATAATCCATGGTAAACTATCAACAAGATTGCTTTTAAGTACATTGTGTGACAAAATAAGCCTAGTTAATTCCGTACCGTCAAAACTAGATTACTGTACGACAAGATGGTAGGGTACGAAACTTAATTAAGATCGGCAGCAGAGTTGAGCGAGTATCTACTTACTTCCGGTCCTTAATGCTAGTTGGGTAGGAACAGTTATGGTTTTCGGTACCAATCAAGTTCTTAATACTAGTTCGTTATTAACTTTTTGATTCGAAATATCCATTAAAATACAGTATCTTCAAGTGCGTAACCCACATTGATAATTCACACAGTATCGTTAGGTACGATGAGTCTCGATAATATCCGTATAGTGACGTTAACTTGATTCCACGAGTTCACTAGATATGATTAGTATGTTCGTTTCTTTATCTGTATCAATTTATCATAATATCACAATATTTCTGACACCACTTCCTTTACAACTCCTTCAACTTCAAACTTTCCAAAACAATTTTCAGTTTATTTACGTATTTATTTCCGGGGATATGTTGAATTCCACAAATTGGGTAGTCTTTCCCTGTTTGGACTTCAAAAAAGCGTTAGGTTTTAAATGTTTACTGACTAAACCTGTTTTCTATTCCAAGGGAACTCAAAAGAACACCGAGCGTGATGCGATATCCGGTTGGCTAATCTCGTTAAACAGAACAGCATGGATTAGCTTTGTAAGTTCACTGATGGATTATCAGCAAAACTTGCACAATAATCTCTAACGTTACAATGCTTGAAAAAACTTGATAAACAAACACAAGTGTAGAACTGGTCTCAAATTCTTTTTCTGGGTTGTTCCAAATGCGTAAACAGAGCAGCGCATGAAGATATCACCGTTGATGTTAAATTATAAAAAGTTGGATAATAAACTCCGATATTTTGTTGTAGATTGCAGTTTACAATCAGTACGATTGATCTCCGACAAAACTAACAGTTCCTTTACAATACTTAGTCAATATTTCGTCTAACCTTTACACAGCGATAATATCAAGCAAGCAGACGAGATCTACCCTAGCTCCACCTACCTGTCACGATATCAGTAATTACTTTAAATACTCTAATCTCATTGGATAAAACAAAACAAATTGGCAGACGACTTGTAGTCTCGTTTGTCACGTTAACAATCTTGACGTTTTATCCTGTTTTATCGAAAACCATGTTGAATAATCAAGACAACTGTCAGCATGGCGAGATAACTCTCATAGCTAATCAAAGAGCCCGGATATAATTACTTGGCAACGCGCCAGGAATTCCCGACTTTACCTCATCAATCATTGGAATGGTTTGCTGCCAATCAAGGTAGATGAATGTCGCCGCGTGTAAGAAATGTATACTGTATAATGTATTATAGATGAAAGAGTGACGATGTTAGTAAATAGAAGATTTGTCAGCTGTCAATTTTATCATCGCCTCGTGAATCTCTTCTTTTTATTTAAAGGGTGTCTGTGTGGTCTGTTGAATGAGGTGAATTTGGTCGATCAATTGGGTTCACACAGAAGGACACACAGAAGCATGCAATGTTGAAAATTAAAGGGAACTAACTGCAGTTAGATGAATCCCTCAGATGGATCATGGATCAATACCATGGGTTCAAGATTACCATGGGTTCAAGAATCGCCTTGGCCCTGGTCAGTTTTGGTCTATTGGCATTAAGAATATTAGAAATATGAGCAAAAATTTATATTTCATCGCACAATTGGGCAATCAGAATTAGACATGATATAATTTAAGCATTTTACACAACTTCCGGTGACATTTAGTGACTTCCGGTTCTTTGCCATGGAGGTGGAGAGAGAATCAGATTGAACATTATCTTCAGAAAACTATTGACTTCATCTTTCCTGATCCCCACTCAGCGCAATCAACAGTAGCTCATCCATTTTCCTGCAGTTGGTTATTTAAGAAGATGATTTGCGAGGTGAAGTCGGATATGGAAGTCCATTACGCTGGAAATTTCCCCAACCGTCAATCTATGGATATCAGACATGCTATATCTTCATTATTTTACATCACTATGACTTAGACATTTTATATACATTTATATTTTCAGAAAATACCTCCAAATAAATTGGTCTCGTCATGCGAAGAGAGAATAAACTGGGAATGTTAATAGATCAAATATCACCTCCATCAGACGATCTCGGTAATTTCAGTTTCACGACTTCCTCCATCATTTATAGTTATGGAATATTCAGTCTGCAGCGTTTGTGGATCCCTCATCATTGTATGGAGTAGGTCCTGGTCATAAATAGAATAGTTCTTGTTATATAACTCTATGGTCCTGATATCAATTTTCATTATAAAATACTTACTCACTTAGACACCTGATACCACTTTTTATTATCAAATACTTACTCATTTATGATTGATATACTTCCTCATGTGAAAAGTTCATTAGCTGCTACCTATGTTTCGTCATTAGGCCTATGTTGTTTTGGACGCGCAGTAAAGCATTCTCGGAACAGTTACCGCTTACATTACACAAATTTATCGAGTCCGTTCTCATAAATTTGTAATGTAAAAGGGATTTATGATTGATATACTTCATCATGTGAAAAGCTCGTTAGCTGCTACCAATGTTTCGCAAATATGTTGCTTTGAATTTGTGGTTTCGTTCTGCGGTTAGGATATTCGGATGAACTAAGAAACGTTTTGATGTCATTTGCTCGATTACATCGAACAAAATCCTTGCCGGCTTGTGAAAGCCTGATAACCTTGAATTCGTCTGTCTTTATTTGTGGCAGTTAAAATCCTCGTGGACCTTAGTGGTTAACCAATGGTGATTTTTTTGTTTGACATTGATTACAAAATTACATTTACTTTATTTCATGTCGACTTGTTTTCATTTCATGACAAATAGACATTTCAAACAGACAATAAAACATAACTTCCGGTTCAAAATGGCTGCCGGTAATCGGCCATATTGGAAAGATAATGATTGTCTTTGATTGAATCTGATATTGCGAGGATAATGGTTGAAATGAAAGACTTGATGAGATGAATGAATGTTAATGGGTTATGACAGTTATATATAATAGACATGACAGGTATTATGGATATAGTATCGTCAATTAAACATTACCTATCAATCAAACTCAGGGATAAAAGGCGCCGCCTGATCAGATTACCTGATCGAGTTACAGGTGTATTAAAGGAGGGCTACCACTTATTTTTCGTCATACACAATCTTGCAGGGAAAGTTCACAAGAAAAGTTATTGCCACATAATTTGCCTAGAAATAAGTTGATTGATTTGAATATTTCAATACTCAGCACTATGCGTTTCGTATACAATTTGAATGTCGGCTACACGAAGGAACGCCACCCATTCCACTATCAACCCAATTTCTAAGAAGGACCAAGTCGGGGTCACAGGATTTTTAAGGAGGGGGGCATGCAATTCTTTCACTATGTTTAGTGATTATAAAATAGAAACGCCACTGCGCTTGCCATATTGCCCATTGTGTTACCTGTCTACCTTGACAGCTACGAGGGAATCCGCCTTTAAATAAATTGATAATGTGATTGATGAAGTTTGACAAGGGGGCGACATGGGGAAATATGAATAGTTAAATCTGTTGAAAGATTGAGATAATTAGTCAAACAGATGGGGGTAGAGATAGGCTCAGGGTGGGAAAGATTTACAAACTACAAACTCTCATAAACAGACGAGTGTAGAGATAGAGTGAACAGGGTGGGATAGGTTTACAAACTAAGAACTACAACACAAAGAAATAACACAAGAATCTTAAAATGTGGCCTAAAGGTATGCTAAACCAGAAATATATATATATAAGCTATTTGAATTCCTTCTTGCTGGCTAATGAGCAAGTTTGTTATCAGAGTTTGGTAGTTTGTAGAACTGCCCCACCAGTAAAAAGTTTTAAAGATATTTACCATCTGTAAAGTGATGATGTTTTAAGTAAAGTTGATGATTTATTTTTAACAACAACTCTACATAAATTACCTTGTCCAATCAATCTTACTCGCTGATAAATTCTTCTGGTGAAAAAACTTACAATTTACGGTGAAAATTGAAAAACAGATTCAAATTTTCGTTTCGTTATTTTTAACGTCAAATTTTTAATACCAGAAAAGTCTTCATTTTGAAAAATTTCGTTTCGTTTTTTCTGTCGTTATTTTTTGTTGGATGGTAGTTTAATCATGAACTTTGCGATCCGTACAAGCGAAGCCTTTTTTGATTATCGATAACTGATAGACACTTTAAAACAATAGAAATGAAGTTTTAACACATACCTTTCCTCTCCTTATCGACATGTTGAAAAGTACCAAGGAATAAGGAATTTCAAACTATTATAATACGAACTGAACTCAATCAGCACTTGGAAATATTCTAACTTCATGACCAAGACCCGTGCTTTTATAGGAATTTTATTCTCGTAACACCCTAATACGACACACTAAAAATTTATCATTAATCTAGCACGGACAACGCCACGTAGTCTGCAAAGAGAGATATTTTTCCAGGGCTACAAGAGTGGATTAGTATTTTCTATTTCCAACTGTCGAGGGATATGTTATGTGTGAAGAGTGCAACAAACCGTGCCACCTCTTAACATATCTTATAAAATTCTTATTATAAATAATTCTAGCAATTTAGATAAGTTAAAACCCAGCTGGAACTGTTAACAGAAAAACTAAACA